CTCAGAGTCTGAGCTGCTCAGCTCCAAGGCCTCTAGTTTCATTGTAGGGCAGAGGCTAGGTTTTGAGTCTTTATTTCTCTTAAATTTACCGGGGTGTGACCAGTTATTCCCTATTTTCTCTCCCCCTTTTTTTATATCCTGGGGAGGGCCATTTTCCTTGGACATGTCCTTCCTTTTTTGATCTCCTATTCTCTCATCTCGTTCGGTTTCTGATATATTATCCTGTACCTCTTTAAGCATTTTTTGACTCTCTGCTACCATGGGACGGCAATCTCTAGACAATTTTTAATTAGGTCTCTCTGTTTTGAAGAGCCCATAATGCTGGAGGCTACCTGGGGTAAGCTTGGTCTCGAACTGGAACACCAGCCACGGTGGGCATAATATAAGACCAATGTGAACAAAATTAGAATAAAGACTAGAATTAAGGCTTTTCCCTCCCATAGTGGTGGCAAATTAAAAGCAAAGTCAAAAAAGAAGGTGTCAGAATGAAGCATACCTCTCCGAACTTACCACCCTGGCAGTTCCTGAATCCGCCCTGTTAGAGGGGTCTCCGTGATGCCGGAGATGTTAACAATTCCCGGGTTTCGGCACCAGATGTCCCGCGCGCTCTGTATTTCTCGCCAGCAAGAAATCATACACGGGACACTCGGATCCTTCTGCAGACAAGCTTTAATGCATCTTATGAAAATGGAAACACTAAACCAAGAAAACCATCCCTTATAAAGGCTGACCAGCCGCCTGGGACGTGTTACCCTATGAATGGCTTCAGCTCCTCAGGCAAAAATGAGCCACGGGATAGGCAGAGATCAAAGGAATGGAGATTACCCAGCGCCTGTGAAGTAATTTACAACTTGGTGTCTTCAGGCACCTATTATTGTAATGGATAATGCAGGAACCGGCTTCCTACAGTGTACTGCCATATCTTTGTTTTTGAATTAGAAGCGTCTTCTGAGACAGTTGCTATAGCCTCTTTTCATTGTAATGTACGCAACAGTCATCAGCTAGAATTAAAATAGCTACTATTTTTCTTACCAGTAACATAGATTAGGCTCCTATAGATATGTTTTTGACAATGGTTTGCATGAAATCAGTTTAGTGGACATCGATCAGCATTTCTAACACAACTTGAAACTAAGCAGAATAGAATTGAATAGGAAATAAAAGTGTAGTATATCTAGTGAAGATAAACATTGTTTCTTGAAAATTGTTTCATTCTTTGTGTATATGTGTGTCTGTGTGTGAAGGACTTTATTTCTGTCTCTGTATTCATGTGTCTATGTATGTGTCTCTGTGTGCCTTTCTATGTGTGTTTCTTTCTGTGTATATGTCTATATTCCCATGTGAGTCTCTGGTGCTTCTATATATGTGTCTGTATTCCAGAGTATTAATGTGAAATGTGTGTCTGTCAGTTTGAGGTTAGAAACATTGAGAAATGATGCAATGAACAAGACTATTCTAGCATGAACAATATTGGTGAATGTAGTACTGGAGGTTTTGATTTTGGGAGACCTCTAGAATATGGATAAAAACATACAATTTATTATTTAATAAGTACTTTGAAGG